TTTTTTTTTTTTTTTTTTTTTTTTTGAATTTTGATGTGTCTTCTTGTTTTATAAATCAAAATGTCTTCTTTTGTTTATGGCTTTGAGACCACTTTTCTCTCTTCCTCTTTCCTGGATACCCATTTTGGAGATACTTCCAAAATGTGCTTCATTTGAATGACACTCTACAAAAGACATTATGGTACTTTGAATTTGAATTTTTTTTTATTTATAAAATTGTATTCCTGGGGTTTTCATAAAAGTTTTTGACATTGTTTCTCTCTGATGTGCAGCTTTTTGAATATTCTTGGATGAATTCTTGGTTGCTAGAAGTGGAAAGAAGTTAAAGTTGTGTGTCAAAATAGAAAGTTAATTGAAGAGAAAGTGATGGCAGCTAGCTTACTTTTTCCAGCTTTAATGGTGGTAGGAAGGATGAGAAATGGCAATGGAAAGTGATGGACTTGCTTTTCAATCCAATGGAGAACACTTGAAGAATTCAAAGATTGTACTTTGTAAGGATTTTTGGAGCAGCCTAGCCACTAGAAAAAAGAGAACAAAAAAGGCAAAAAGGGGGATCAAATATGCCAACAGTGTGGTTCTCTCTGAAGAAATCTCTACACTGCAAATCAGAGCCATCAGAAGTTCATGATCCAAAGTCAAGGAGGCAGTTGAGCACAATCTTGACAAGAAAAGGAGGGAGGTCAGGCTGTTCAAGGTCTATAGCAAACCTCAAGGATGTGATTCATGGAAGCAAGAGACATTTGGAAAGGCCACCAAGTAATTGCAGCCCAAGATCTATAGGGAGCAGTGAGTTTCTGAACCCAATAACCCATGAAGTAATTTTGAGCAACTCAAGGTGTGAGCTCAAAATCACAAGCCTTGGTGGGTTCCATGAAGGAATTGGGTCTGGAAACATCAACAATGGTGGTGGTGGTGGTGGTTCAACATTTGTGGATACTCTAAGGCCAGGCACACCTGGCCCTGGTGGTCAATCAACAGTGCACTATTTTAATCCATCTTTTAGGACCTCATCAACTCCTCCAAGGAAAAGTCCTTTTCTTGCATCTGCAGATAATACAGAAGGGTCAGCGAAAGGTTCAGCTTTTCTTGGTAGTGGTGGAATTCGTCAGAGCAATAGGGTCTCCTTTGACAGCGTCGCAGAGCACTCTCATGGTTCTTCTGCAATAACTTGTCACAAATGTGGTGAGCATTTTACCAAATGGGAAGCTGCTGAAGCACACCATCTCTCTAAACATGCTGGTAAGAAATCCCTGCTGAATGAAACTCTCATTTTGGGCAAATATTATTTGAAAATTGAAATGTTCTTCAGTTTGTTCAGAACCTTTCTTCTTCTTGTTTTCAAGTATTTGTTGTTTTCAGTTTTCCTTATCCTCTTAGGACCAAATGTCTAAATTCTTATGGCCACAAAAATATGAGCACTTTCTTCTGACCAAGAAAAGAGGAGATGTGAACAGAGTTCTCCTATTACACATTGTAGATATGCATCTGTTTTACTTTTCCTTATCCTCTTAGGATCAAATTACTAATATTCTTCTGGCCACAAATATTGAGCACTCTTGTTTTTTTTTTTTTCTGACAAAGAAATGAGGAAGAGTGCAGAGAGTTCTTCTTATTTACATATTGCAAGTTTGAAGATGAGACCACTGCCTGAGACATTGGTGAATCTAGCAGAAACTTTATCTGTTTTCCTTTTGGTTCCCCAACAACTTAACATTCACTAAAACCTCAGTTTTTTGCTTGAATGATGACCTCCAGCATATTTAGTGTTCACCCAAATGTTTGGTCAATCACATTTCTAAAATGGCTCTGATTCTATAAACTATCTTTGGATTCATCCAATGGTTACTTCAAATTTTAGAGTAGATTTCCCACTCACACTATCCTCATATCTGTGGCAGTTACTGAACTTATGGAAGGTGACTCATCTAGAAAAATTGTCGAAATAATATGCCGGACAAGCTGGTTGAAATCCGAGAACAATTGTGGCCGGATTGAGAGAGTGTTGAAAGTCCACAACATGCAAAGAACTCTTGCTCGATTCGAAGAATATCGAGAGATGGTGAAAATGAAAGCCAGCAAACTCCCTAAGAAACACCCTAGGTGCATTGCCGATGGGAATGAGCTTTTGAGGTTTTATGGCACCACTGTGGCCTGCTCCCTTGGTAAAAATAGTTCCTCGAGTCTCTGTGTATCAGAAAAATGCTGTGTTTGTAGGATCATAAGAAATGGGTTCTCTGCAAAGAAGGAGCTCAAGGAAGGGGTAGGTGTTTTTACAACTTCAACAAGTGGAAGAGCTTTTGAGTCCATTCAAATATTAGAAGAAGATCCCTCCATGAGGAAAGCTTTGATAGTCTGCAGAGTAATTGCTGGGAGGGTTCATAAGCCTTTGGAGAATATACAAGAAATTTCTGGCCAAACTGGGTTTGATTCTTTGGCTGGAAAAATGGGTCTTTACTCAAATATTGAAGAGCTTTATCTGCTCAATCCTAGAGCTCTCCTTCCTTGCTTTGTGGTCATCTGCAAACCCTGAAGAAACAATCCTTTTCTTATCTTTTTTGCTGAATTAAAACTTAAAAAAGAAAAAGAAAAAAAAAGGCTTAGTGCATCTATAATTATGATGTTATGTGAATTCCTCCTTTTTTTTTTTTTTTTCTATTTTTTTGGGGTGAAGATATTTTCCCACTGATTTTTGGAAGAAAATTTATTCTTCTTTCAAGACTCCAAGTCACCTACCATTGTGTAAAAGTTGCGATTGTCAGTCTCAATTGTATCTCTGCCTCTTCAGTTAAGGCCTGTGCTATCAGTGTAACACTTTTTTTTGTGAAGAATATGAATATTTCTGCTGTCATTGCAACAACTATAGAGCTTGCCAACAATGATCACTAAAACAATTGAATTTAAAAAAAAAATTAGTTTGGGAAAAATAAACCATATATTAATCTGTAGTCTTGAAAGAAAAATTGCAGTTAATAATATTCATTGAATTATTGAATTGTGTGCATGCTATTCTCTTGCCTGCATTAAAGGAAAGGTCAATGTCTATCAAAATGAGTAAGGTGAGCCTGAGCATCATCAATTTCAATAGTTCTTGGGGAAGGCAGAACATTAAATCACAAGTAATTAAAACTTCAAACCTTCAAAGATTGAAGCAGGGTAGCTAGCATTTAATTCTTGAATCAAAATACCAAGAGAACAGAAAGCTTATGCTGTTTTATCAAGTCCTACAAGCTAAAGGCTACAGAGCTCAGAGACAAAGAACTTGCATTAGTAGAATAATTACAAAAAACTTAGATTCCATCTAAATTTTCAATGGGACCATTATGGGTTTTTAGTAGCCACTGGCACTATGCAGAGTGACATGGTTGTCATGTGGTCCATGTAGGAAGGTTTATGTCAATGTTAGTCCAAAACCAGAAGACAAAATTCAAGAAGGATTGCATGCCATATTTTCACTGTCAGGCATTTGTTTTGTCTCCTCTATCCCTATCACTGTTTGAAGCTTTGATTGATATTTTAGTGTAAATCTTTTTTACTCTCTATTTTCAGATTTGATTTCTTTGGTGCCTACTGTTGGTGTAGGAGCAGCTAACATTCAAGATAAGGTCAGGGCTCATATATCTATCTATCACCTAATATTAATTAGAATACATAACGGCGGTACTTGTAATATCACGTGACAGTGTTACGGTTACATTCAAGAAATTACTCATCTCTCTTCCTCTTCAAAAATAGTAGTTTTAATTGTTAGCTTTATAGAGTCTTTTAAGTGCATCTACCTTCCTTTAGGGACTATATGGGTTAAAATACCAGAACACTACGTACATGTCCTTACTGATACATCTGTACAGCTTGTAAGGCTCTGTGGCACATGCACCTCATAAATAAATTAATGCTACCGCTGAAATCATGATCTGAAGAAATTGAATATGGTCTTATTCAACTTCAATTCTGGCCTTAAATGTCTTGAATGAAGGTAGCTACAGGCTCTGGGTTGCATTGCAGTTGATGATGAACTCAAATATTGAATATCTTTGTTTTATTGCAGTTGACATTACTTCTTGACATAGACTCTTCATCAGAGGGATGCCAATGGCTATGCAATGCACTGATCATGTCAAGCTTCTAATTGTTATTTTATCATCAGGAAGTGGCAGAGATGAGGCTTCTGTTCTTCTGAGTGCAGACAAACAACTTGAAATTAAAAATAATTAAAAGCAGTAAGAAGCCTTTAATTAAACCAAAGACAAATGAAGGTCCAACTTGGATATGGTCTGAAAAAGCAGTTACCCAGCAGTCAAAAATGTATTTTTATTTATAATTAAAGTTTGACAGAGATAAGCAACCCAGTCTTTTAAGGATTAATATAATTAAATTTTAGTAATTCCTGAAGAAGTACCTTAAAAAAAAAGCTTCTGGATAAATATACAAAAAGCACTTGAATTTTTATTAAAAATTTATATTACTTCTTAATAAAAACACTGCTGACAAAAGCAGATAACTTTATACAGAAGCATACTGGTGGTACCTACAACCCTATGACAAGTTCATTGAGCAAGCTTTGCATTAAATCTGCTTCACCTAAATATATGCAAACTGCAATAATTTCTCAAGCTTTCTGAATTATCCATAGTTCTTGCTGGACCGTACGCTGGGCATGGAGATATCATTTTCTACATTTATGATTATGGTTAAATAATGACCACCTTAGTTTGGCTTAGTTAGGGTGTTAGGGTGGCATGAAATCACAGAGGAATGATACCATGTTTGCAACCAGGCCAACATCTTTGATTAATCATCAATAATGGCAATGAATTCTCATAAAATTGGATATAGGTAAACACGTTCATAGCATCAAATTCGTTCATCATTGATGGGCACACTTCAAAAATTCCATAAAAAGTATATAGTTTAACTTGAACACCATTAACTTCAAAGAGGAGGCAGAAAGCCATAACCTAGACAACAAGTAATTGTCTGATGGATAATATCTTCTAGTCCATGCTTGAAACTGAATCCCAAATCTGTTAGCTTCTTTGAAGAGATCTCTGAAGGCACCACTACATCATTAATTTCCTCCTCCATAAATCTGTATCAGTTAACATGGGTATTTTAGTCTTAATACATGAGCCATTTGATAAGGATCTAAGTTGGAGACTTAACTTGAGAATCACATTGTTTAAATACTTTAATAAAGCACATACTATGTTATAAGCTCGCCCGACGGCTTAGAACATAGTATTTGAATTTTTTATATACTTAAACATATATGTCTCCATACATATATCATTTACTTGACACTGACAGGTCTATGACAGAGAAACTACCTGTTTGAATTTGAGCAAGGGTATGCCTGAGCTAGATACTTAACCAACTCAGATATCGGGTAACTTTGGGCAGCGCATACGTAAGGACCTTCAGCTTTGGCATGCTCCATTAAAAATATGTGGGCACTGCATATATCTTCAACATGAACTAAAGCAATTGAACCCATTCTTGCATTTACAGCAGATAATATCCCATGGAGTTCAGAGTCACCTACATAAAAGATCATATATCCACATGTTCAATTGTCTCCCCCTCTATCCATACTTCTTATTTGATTTCTGAGCATGTGTCCCATGCATCAATCATAAGTTATAAGCATTTTCATAGTAAAAACTGAAACATAGTTTAATTTTACATATTTATTGGGACATTTCAGAAAGATATCAGGGAAAATCAGGACAGATTTAAATAATATTTATCTGCATGAGACAGGTATAGCAGAAGAACCACCTGTTATTGGTGACAAAAGAACTTGAATGCTTGATGGAACCTTGGAAGTGAGAAATGGACCTCCAACAGTACTTGTTATCACTGATACCAGATTAACGTCATTCTCATTTGCAAATCTAAATGCTGCTTCCTCTGTGAGAATCTTTGAAAGTACATAAACCTGCCATAGAAATGTTTTTTTTTTTTAAATTTCTCATGTATAATAATTAATTATTGAGTAGGCAATTTTGTAGTAAGCATATAGCATGAGAGGGAGAGGAACCATTACCCATCCATTTGCTTTTTCACTCAAGACTTGATCAACTGGTGTTTGACAAGATTCATCAACAACAGCTCTTGCATTTCCCTTTCTGTCTTTGGCAGTGAGAGTGCTGATGGAAGAGGTGAGCACAACCCCTTTCACAGTTCCAGAATTCACACAGGATTTGAGGACGTCCAAGGTTCCTTTGATTGCAGGCTCAATGATATTTGATTGCACGTAACTCTCTTAGATGTCAAAGATTGAGAGCAACTTAATTAGTGTTATGCTCCACTAAATGATATTAAGGTAGCATTGTAGATTTACATAGGCATTAGTGATTACCAATGTTTTCTTCTACAGTAACACTGAATTCCATTGATGCTGCAACATGAAATACACCATCACAGCCCTTCACAGCCTCGTCGAAGCTTCCTTCCTCTCCCAAATCAGCTTGGAACAATCTCAACCGGTCAGTGTTCGTCCACAATGATAATAGGTGCGAACACTTGGCTGAGATGTTTGGTGGAACTTGATCAGCCTTATTAAAACATTCAGAATAACAAGAAGAGATAAAGCACGTTCATGAATTAAGGATTTCATTTTTTTATGACAAAGAGGTATATAGAACAGAAATCGATTGCATGATCCAATTCTTTTACTTTGTAATTCAGGACAGAAGTGTTTTCATTTCACTGCTAAAGTATTTTTATTTGTTCTGTTTTGCTGTCTCTACCAATGAACTAGACATCATAACATGGAGTTTGATTCACATGGCTTTAATCTGTGAGCAAAGTGATCTGTTCTAATAATTTTCAACATAAGAAACATAAATTTTCCACCCCTCACCATTTTATCAGTTAATTTATTTTTTTGAAAAGAAAACTATCACTTAATTGAACTTTCATTTGTAGCAGTTCTGACCAAGGCAAACGAGTTTTAGCAGGCCAAACAGAAGCCCTCATCACCAAATAAGATGAAAATCACTGTCAAAAAGGTTGGACTAAGCAGTCCCATGGATTAAATCCAATTCCACCTATGAACTAGACCTACAAGAAACAGACAAATCCAAAGCTGCCATTATTTTGGACCAAGTTACAAAATTGGGGTGAGCTACTTCTTCAGTCCAATCTAGATTTGTTCCAATATTTTTTGGGCTAGATTAGCAGTCTATTTGGTTGCTTAGGAATTAGGTCAATGTTTAACCAGCCCAATAGGAATGGTTGTTGTCACTTGTAAACATAGTTGCCTTCATTTCAGATTAATTCTTAATAAACCCAAAATAGTCAGATTAATTCTTAATAAAAATAAATAATACTTAAGAGAGGGCATGTAACCAATGATTGATGAGACTTGGGTGTTTTAAATTGTGCTTATAAAGTCAATTCTCAATTGCCTAGACATCCTAACAGACAAAAATTGTAATTTAGGGCCTTGACCTGACACCAACCAACATGTTCCCTAATTACCAGAAATTAAAATAAAAAAATCCTACATTTCTATCTTATAAAGCAAAACGCCAAAAATATATACTATTTAATGTTTCCTTCGTGATGGAAGCACCTATCAAAGAAAAGATGCTATGGAAACATGTGCTAAAGTTTGAAATCAGAGAAAATGTTCTCTGAAAAGTCCTAGTAAAAAAATTGGCAAAGAAAAAGGATCAAAATGCCACTTCCAGTCCAGTCTCTATTTTCTTCTTCTTTGAGGAATTATAGTAAAATCAAATAAATGTATCTATTACCAACCATTAAGCAAGAAAAACAGCTTGAGAACATTTTTGTCGAAGTTAGGAATGGGGAGGGGATTTTCTCACACGCACACAATGCCAATGTGTCATTATAGTTTGAAGTTGAGACTATTAGTCTGCAAATCAAAACCCTCTTATACTAGGCTAAACCGTGTTTCCACAACTTGAGAATATTTTTGAAATTAAAGAGAATGATTGAGGTAACATTCTTGGTCTACAAATCAGAATCCCATAATTGGTTTAATGGTCAGACTTTTTCCTTTGGAAGACTAATTGAATTACAATTTATTGGGTGATTGGATACTCCAATTCTTTTCTTTCTCCATGGTTAAATATTATAGTTTATAGTACATTGCAAAAATCCCACCATCACCTCCACAAAAACCAATAGCAAACCAAGGAAATGATACACACGTATCTTTGAGATTGACATCAAGTTTTTTTTAAAATGCATGTAATTATCAAACTTGGTAGCCACATGACTTCTATATGCAGGGTGTTGATGACTTTTTTTTAAATATATATTTTTTAAAGCTAAGCCATCTTTGATTGAAAAGCCTATACCACTCATCTCAGAAGCTGATGCTAACTCAAAATTCCTTTCTCTGTCTAATATGCAACTATGGATGATTTTCTAGCAAAGCCATGTTAGACCAAAATATTATACAAATCACAGAAGCTAATTCTAACTCAGAGTAGTCCTTAATCTCTCTCTCTCTCTCTCTCTCTCTCTCTCTCTCTCTCTCTCTCTCTCTCTCTCTCTCTCTCTCTCTCTCTCTCTCTCTCTCTCTCTCTCTCTCTCTCTCTCTCTCTCTCTCTCTCTCTCTCTCTCTCTCTCTCTCTCTCTCTCTCTCTCTCTCTCTCTCTCTCTCTCTCTCTCTCTCTCTCTCTCTCTCTCTCTCTCTCTCTCTCTCTCTCTCTCTCTCTCTCTCTCTCTCTCTCTCTCTCTCTCTCTCTCTCTCTCTCTCTCTCTCTCTCTCTCTCTCTCTCTCTCTCTCTCTCTCTCTCTCTCTCTCTCTCTCTCTCTCTCTCTCTCTCTCTCTCTCTCTCTCTCTCTCTCTCTCTCTCTCTCTCTCTCTCTCTCTCTCTCTCTCTCTCTCTCTCTCTCTCTCTCTCTCTCTCTCTCTCTCTCTCTCTCTCTCTCTCTCTCTCTCTCTCTCTCTCTCTCTCTCTCTCTCTCTCTCTCTCTCTCTCTCTCTCTCTCTCTAGTTCAATTCATATCAACCATAAGCACAAACAAATCAGAACAAAGAAAGCTTTAAGTTTTTCTGCTTGGATGAAAAGAAAAACTTGAATAACTAAAACAAGAAAAAGTGAGAGGTTGGTTAAAGAGGTAACAGACCAGGATCACGAACTGTGGCATGAACCATGTGGCCTCTTTCCAAGAGGGTGTTCACCAGCCAAGACCCTATAAAACCAGTGGCTCCAGTCACACAGTAAGTTGCCCTAGCTCCCTTTCTCTTGTCCTCCAAACCCTCCATTTCCTTAACTCAATGCAGGCTGCTGTTTTAGATACCCTTTCAGTGTTGTCTATGAGGGAATTTATATATGAAATAATGATTAAATAATTAATCATGGCATTGAATGTTGTAATCCTGTAGCTAATATAATATTCATTTCGCAATTGTATAATCAGAAATAGACGATCGAGTAAGCATGTGGCGGAAATTAATTAATGATTTGGAAAAGTTGAAAGCAAATATAACATGTCGGGCCTATATTTGGAATCTGCATTCAAAATATGTCTATTTTTTGGGTGGACACTTGGAGAGTTCTGTGTTTTCAATGCATGGTTGCCAAGTGTTAAATCTAGGGGTGGTTGCGGTTCGGTAACCGCGAATTTTTGCCCAAACCGCAAACCGACCGACTATTTTCGGTATGGTGATTTTTGAAACCGCAAACCGACCGCCCCACAAAAGGCGGTCGGTTACCGTGAATTAGAGGGTTTAAAACTGCAAGTTCTTTTCCTATCATAAAAATCCAATCTTCCACATTTTAGGCCTAATTTTGATACTTCTTTTGAAACATTTTGAGTTCAAGCATACTTTAACCCAAAAATATAAATTACAACCTCAACTTCTCAAGCATATATAAATTCACAACCTCCTCTACTTCTCAAGCATTCACAACCTAAAGAAAATTAAAGTTACAATTCCAAGCATTCCAATTAAAGTTAAACTTCTCAAGCATTCACAACCTCAACTTCTCAAGCATTCCAATTCCAAATCCTTTAAAGTTACAAACCCAAAGGAAAATGCAATGCAAAATGAATTAAAGTTACAACCCAAAGGAAAAATCCAATTCAAAGTTAATTAAAGTTACAAACTAAAAGGAAAATGCAATGCACCAATGTTACAAACTAAAGTTACAAACTCAAGTGTTTGTGGTGGTGAGTGGATTTGAGGACCTCGTTGTGTTGTTTGAGCACCAATGCTATCTACAAATAAAACAACATAAGTTTAGTATATTTTATTATAAGAAGAAGCATAAATAACATGAGCATAAATAAACTAATTACTTACAAGTTGTCATATGTTCAATTTCCTTGTATAATTTTTTTTAAAAAAAAATATAGTTGCAGTTTGCGGTAACCGTAAGTTTTGAAAATCAAATACCGTAACTGCAACCACAAATGCGGTTCGGTTCTTCATACCGCAAATGCAGTTCGGTTTCCCGCGATTGCGGTTCCATTGCGGTAAATTGTCGGTTGATTTTTGCGGTTTTTCGATTTTTTGGTCTAAAATGCCACCCCTAGTTAAATCATCCATGAGGTTTTAGTGGGACACACCAATCTGTTTTCCATGCTTGCTTTGGGTGGCGTTATTTCCAACACATTTGTAATTTGGGTAAATTACTCAAATGATCCTCAAATTTATACCAAATTTACATTTTGGTACCTCAATTAAATTATTCGTTCAAATGGTCCATCAACTCTATATTATTCGCTCAATTGATCCCACCGTCTAATTTTTTGTTAGATTTAACCAAATTTTAGGGTAAATATGACTTTTCATAATTAACAAATAAAAATATGGTTAAAATAAATACAAAATTAGAAAAAATTGAAGAAAAGGAGGAAGAAGAAGAAGAAACTTAGAAGAAAAAAAAGAAGAAGAAACCCAGAAGTAGAAGAAGAAGAAACCCAAAAGCAGAAGAAGAAACCAAAAGAAGAAAAAGAAGAAGAAGAAACCCGGCTAGCTGTCAGAAGAAGAGGAGAGAGAGTTGATGGAAGAAATGACCAATTTGCCCTCATTTTAATGGAAATATTGACAGAATATAACGGTAGGACCAATGGAGCCAATAATATAAAGTTGATGGATCATTTGAACGAATAATTTAATTGAAGGACCAAAATGTAAATCTAGTATAAGTTTGAGGACCATTTACGTAAAATTATTTTGGAGGACAACTTTCAGTATCTTAAAAAATTTAAAAACAAGGGTTCTAATGGGGTCTAATGACTTTGACTTGCAAATCAGTGGTCTTATGTTTGAATCTCTATGACACCTTGATAAAGAAATATGCCCCCCCCCCCGGCGGCAATAATAAATGTAGGCTTTTAGTCATCTCCAACTCAAGGACCTAAACCCAAATTATTGCCCAAAACCTCCCCCAACCCAAGAAAATGAAGGACCCAAAATTTGGGAAAACCCAAATTTGGACCCAAATACCAGTCCACTTATTGCCTGGACCCAAAACTTTTTAGTGGAGCCCACGCTGAGGTGGCACAGCCCATGTGCACAAGAAAAACACTGGGGCCAGCTAAAGTAACTTTAAAAATGGACTGGACCCACGCTGCTGGCTTTATTCCAGCTTAAAAGGCCGTTGCAATTCAAATATCCCTTTTTAAAAATAAAAAAAAAATCTAATATGAAAAAAGGGTTCTTTCTTCACCTATTAAATTATTTTTTGGACAGCTCTTTTTTTAAAAGGGGTTTTTTTTTTTTTAATGTTGTGTGTTTACTTTTGGAATAAAATTAAATTTATGGAATTTCAAATTTTTTTTAGGTCAAATTGTTCAAAAAATTAAATTATGACGTTATTTAAAAAGATTAATGAAGAAAAGTTTTCCATTAAAAAAAAATAGACTTAAACCATTTTTAAACAATTTAATAAAGTTGCGGACTTAAAATTTGAGTCCGGAGGGTTGGGAGAAAAAAAATTTGAGTCCAGGCAAAACCCAAATAGTCACTTTTTGGAGGGGGAAAATTTGGGTTTAGCCCCTCATGGGTTGGAGAAGGCCTTACAACTCTTATATCCCAGACATACCAGAAGGCTCTACCGGGTATGGTAAATGGAAACGGGCCACCATAATCAAAGAATTCAAAGAGGTAAAGCCTGGAAACATGATCCAAACAGAGAGAAGAAAGGCAGGATCTGCCAATCCCAGGAGGCGCCAGGAAGAAGCGGAGCGTGGAGACAACTCGGAAGAGGAAAGAGTGAGAACTCCAAATAACCTAGTCCTCAATACAAGTCGATATGAGCTACTACGGTTCGCAAGGAAGAAGCTTTAATGGAGGCTCTGACATAGCTCAACCCAGAGCTGACCCTACGACTTTGACACACGGCAACATGAGAATTGCACCATTGTTACTAGGAGCCCAATCTAATACTAAATCTCAGCAGGTCTTTGAACGCTCGAGGAGAGAACCAAAAGGCTCCCTATCCTCCTCCAAGAAATCAATGTTATACCAGATGCACGCTGGCCTACAAATAAGAGGGATCACCTATCTCCAGCAAATTTGATGGAACATTTCAAGGACCAGTTGGCAAGGAACGAAATGTTTTCAACTAACTAGGGAGGATCATGGCCCACAAATAGGAGGGAGCATTTGGGCCTGGGCCAATTGGGGCAATCAATGCAATTTAAGCCACTTCCACAAACCCCCTTGGGCTGCAATCCTATTGCTAACAGGAACTAAACTCAAGTGGAGTCTCTCCTTAGTGGCTTGGGCCTCAAACGAGCCTCGAATGGAGATGATGGAGCCTCGGGCCAGTCACCAGTAAAAAAAAGTCAAAGGAAGTCAAAGGAAGATGATTCCAGGGGTTATGTAGCTGAGACCCATACTTTTCCAAGACGCATTCTTCGACCTAGTGTTAGCAAAAAGAAAGGGAAGGCGAAACAAGGAAGCATTTTTTCAGAAAGAAACCTCACGGAAGTTCAAGTCAAACAAGTAATAAACTGGAATCAAGATGAACCAGACAACAACAACAAACGAGGGGGACCTCAAGGCGGTGGCGGCTGGCCTGAAACAGCAGCAAGGGAGCCATGAGTTTCACCCTCTGGAACTGTCAAGGGCTAGGGCCAGACTTGACAGTGCGAGCTTTGAAAGGGCTCATCCAGTAACACAGGCCCACTGTTGTATTTCTAATGGAGACAAAAATGAAATGCAACAGTATTGATAGAATTAGAAGAAGATTGGGTTTCTGTAATGGTTTTAATGTACCACTGGTTAGAACTGCAGGAGGCCTTAGTCTCTGGTGGGATCACTCTGCAACCGTAAACATCCTTTACACCAACGCCCATTTAATTGACACTACTGTGCATGTCAATGGTTTGCTTGTGCCTTGTCATATGTCATGGGTCTATAGTACCCCATATCGGGATCAAAAAGTCGACTTTTGGAGATGGATGGAGAATATGCTTACACCGCAGAATCATCCTTGGTTTGTTGGTGGGGACTTTAACGAGTAGATCTGGAATCATGAGAAGGAAGGCGGGATGGAGGATGTTGCAGGGAAACAGTTGTTTCTGCTGGACTTTATAAACTCAGTTGGGCTTACATACTTGGGCTTCTAAGGACCTGCATATACTTGGAGAGCCATGAGAAGAAATCAGTCGTTGATCCAGGAAAGATTGGACCGCGGTCTTGCCAACCCCAGTTGGCTGGAGCAATGGCCACACGCCAAAGTTACTCATGGGCTAGTCATTGGCTCGGATCATTGTCCCCTAATTGTCATTGCCAAGCCTAAGAGAAGTTCCAAAAAAAAAACAATTTATGTTCCAGGCTACTTGGTTAGAGCATCAAGAGTGTCGTGCTATCATTGAGGAATGCTGGAGAAATCCATTACAGGGACCTTGGCTACAACAATTCCAGTGTAAATTGGGTAGATGCAGACGTCTCCTATCAGAATGAAAAAGGCAATGCTTGAGCAATAATAAGAAGCAGATTAGGGACTTGACTCAAGAATTAGATGATATGCAACATGATTGGTTGGCTAATGCAACAAGAATGAAACCGATAATTACCAAGATCAACACTCTGTGGGACAGAGAGGAAAAATATTGGCACCAAAAATCCAGAATTTATTGGCTTAAGGCCGGGGACGCAAACACCAAATTTTTCCACTTGTCAACTATTCAGAGGAGACGACGTAACACAATTGACTGCATACAAGATGAGGATGGTCGATGGAGCATGGATGAGATTGGTGTGAGAAGAACATTTAATAAATATTTTGAGAAGCTTTTTACTACTGATGGGCCACGTGACATGGAAAGTGTTCTTAGTTGCATGGATTGTGTTATC